TTTGATATAAGATATCTAAAAATTGTTTCCTTCGACATGCGATATCGAGAATTTTCGAATAAGAGATAATTGCAGTTGTTTCTTTTTCTTTCTTTTTTTTATTTCTATTTTTTGTCTTTTTTTCTTTTTTTTTTTCTTGTCATTTTAATGTCAAATTTGTGATATTTGACAGTAGAAGGATAACGTGACATCTAAAATTTTACATGTATCAATTCAGAACAATGATAAGTTAAATTTTGCGACGATATCTTTCGTTAGTTAATCATTTAATTCGTTTAAATATTGATAATAATCAAAATGTATAAATAAATAGCAAATAATAAAATATGATTTATCATTTCATTTAATAAAATATTCTATTAAGAATTATAATTAATAATTAACGTTAAAATCTTTGATATTTCTTTATTACATTCATCAATTTGATAGATATTTATAAAAACAAAAAGAAAATAAAAAAAAAACTATTTATTTAATATTCATTTTAATTCATTGAATTTTATAATAATAAATAAATAAATACAGGTTTTAATTAACGTTTTGTTAAAATAATAATTATTTAATTCATATAAAACAAGAAATTCGAAATTTATCATTTCGATGTTCATTTCGAAAAAAAAAAAAATATATATATATATATATAACTATATGTATAATTCGCAAAAATTTCTTCAAATAGAATATTTAACGTAATAATAATTTTGAAATATTAACAAATTATAAGCAATTTAAAAATTGCTTATCATTGACCATAGCAAACGATAAAGTAAATATTTTTCTAATAATAATACAAAAAAATTAAATTCAAGATTCGTTATTCTGACGACTTAGATATATCTAACGTTAATAATATATCGTTATATATAACGTTAATATATATATTTAACAGAGATATATTCGCAAATGTTTCCACGAAGAGAACATTTAACACGAAAATTATATCGGACCACACTTTTGAAGTCTCGTATAATTTAAAAATTTATTTGCATAACATCTAAGTAATAAAACGTCTGGGATTCGCGATGTGTTAACGTAACATATAGTTCGGTATACGGCAATGACAATCATTGCCGTTGAAATTCGAACACGGTGACTGTAATTTCGAGACATTCGGCCGAGTCCTTGCGCCTGCAATTTCATGCCGCGTTAAGAAACTGATCGAAAAGCCGTGGGCTACGAATTCAATGTGTGCTAGAGGGAACGGGGGAAGGGGAGGGGGAGGGTAGGGTAGGGGGTCAGAAGGATGGACGGGGGGCGGGGGGGATACACCTGTGGCCTTCCCGAAATGCATCGCAAAATGAAAGGAGAGTAAGAAAAAGAAAAAGAAAAGAAAAAGAAAAAGGAAAACAAGACAAAAAAAGAAAAGATAAGATAGATAGAAAGAGAAAGAAGACGGGGTGGAGTTTTAAAGGCGGGTAGAGATTTAAAAAAAAAAAAAAAAAAGAGAAAAGAAAAAAAGAAAAAAGAAAAAATACAAGAAAAAAATGAAAAGATATTTCCAGCCCTTTTCGAAGACGAACTGGCGAGGATCGTTAAGCGATCGCAATTTCCGCCGATCGACGAGTCGCCCTTCGTCATCCTCGAGGCGCGGAATGCCGACGTCGCGAGTAACTAACTAAGTACGAGAAGCGGCTGATACGCGTTTTCATCCTGCATAATGAACGATCCACATCGTACGGTGGTTCGTGTTTTCGTCGAATCACCATTCCACGATGTTACCTCGATGGTACCGTCGTTCCGATTAACTAAAATCATTCGATTCTTTATACGTCCTTTATATTTTTAACGATTGTTCTTATTAACGAGTTACTGGATCAATGTCGTTATTGAAAACAAAAATGTTTAAGGGATACAAAATGATAACCGATGATTAATTGAAATCATTTCGTTTCTTTATACGTTCTTTTATAATTTTTTTACGATTGCACCTTAATAACGAGTAGCTGGATCAATTTTGTGTAGAAAACAAAAACGTTTACTCTAATCGTTTAAGAATTCAGGTGATTTATTGAATGAATTATTTCAAACGTGATGGTACATCGATTCGTTCCAATTAACTGAAATCATTTGTTTTTTTTTTTTTTTATACGTTCTTTATATTTTTAACGATTGTTCTTGATAACGAGTTGTCGGATTAATGTCATTTAGAAAAACAAAAATGTTTATGTTAAACACGTTTAACACGTTTCGTGCCATGTGTACCACCGGTGATACACGTCAAATTTGATCTTCGGGCCGCGTGTACCATCGGTGGTACACGCGGTCATTTTTTTCTTTAGTCAAAATATCAAATGGCCTGAACGACTAGTTAGGCAAAAATGCCTTGGCACGGTACGTGTTAAATGATGATACAAATGATGACCGAAGATTAATTAAAATCGTACGATTCTTTATACGTTTTTTATATTTTTAACGATTGTTATTAATAACGAGTTATCGGATTAATTTCTTTAAAAAAAAACAAAGACATTTACGTTAATCATTTAAGGGATACACGAATGAATTATATCAAACATTGTTGTATAACTCTTCGTCCATTAATTTTTTCACGTATTGATTACAGAGATAAGTTTCACTCGTGCGAAAAGATTTTAAATCGAACTCGGTAAGTAAGTAAGTATTTCTTACGTATACGGTGTTCGCACGCGACTGAAAATATTGTTTCTTTTTAAGAGGCAATGTTACAGCGTGTGCGCGCGCTCGTACATATATATTTACACGCACATATACACGGACCCGCGCGAAAAGTCATGCGCAAACTTATCGTTTAAGGTACAAATTACTTGGAAGACTAAGTCCTTCGTCGTTAATGACCAAATGGCACGCCAAGTGGTTGAACTTGATCTTCTAACAGGGCGCACTATTGCGCTAACTAGAACCCTCCCCCTCCTCCTCCCCTTATCTCTCATCCCTCAACCCACCATCTTCTTGTTCGCTACATCTCATCTTTCAGGGTCAAAGTTCTCAACTCATAGATTTATGTGTTTCTCGTGTTAAAGAAGAAAGGAAGAAAGGAAGAAAGGAAAAGAATAATCTAATATGGATTAGAAAATTAATTTAGAATTAAAAGAGAAATCTTATTGTATTTAATCGTATTGAATTATGTCGTCGCGTTTAATTGTTAACTATATTTATTTGGCCGTTATTTTTATTAATTAATGAGAAAAATATTTTGTATAATAAATGATCAATATTTATTTGATCGATTTTTTTTATTAATTTTATTAATATTATTAATTAATGGTAAAATGTTCATAACACAACTGTGTGATAAATCAATACATTCATACTTATATACATATACATATACATATACATAAACACACAAACGCACGTATGAATATTTTGATCGGTATAATTAATTAAGTGTCAGAGTTGCGCCACTCATATTATCATATTATCATATTATCATATTATTATCATATTAGAGATATTTAATTATATAAAATTGACCATTTATTTTAAACACTGATTCAATAACTATCATCCGTTAATTGTCAATTTAACGCAGATTTCTGACTGGTATTATTCATGGATGATCTTTACATCGCATATTTATTATTTTTAATATTATTATTATTATTATTATTATTATTATTATTATTATTATTATTATTATTATTATTATTATGTTACTACAGAGAGAAAGATATTTAAATTAGCTTTTATTAAATCGATCAAAGCATTCCATAATCTAAAGGATAACTCGTGCAGCCGTTAGAATCATCATCGTTCTTAGTTCACTTAGTGGACTCACGTGGCTCGTGCGTGCCGATTTGAATGCGAGTTAAACGAAGATTTATGCGGTGGCACGTAAATATAAACAACAATATGCAATCCCCGTCTCATTGTCCCGAGCGAACAAGGCGCGAGAGCTGACCAATGCGAACTAATAAGCACGGCGCACCACAAAGATATCCTTTTGCTCTTCTTCTTCGACGGAACTTGGACATACATATCTATATACACAAACCTATACACATATACACATGCGCACACATATAAACATTTACGTATCTACTGTCTCTATGTACATATGTAGATATATTCATACGTGTATGTGTGTGTGTGTGTGTGTATGTGTATCTGTGTGTATGTGTATCTGTGTGTATGTGTACTCGCTACCGCACCTCTCAAGACTAATCGACCGAGATGCTTCTTAACGAGCGAGTAGCAACCGGATCCGACCAATTCAGACAGTTTCGTCTCCCGCGTTTTTTGCGTTAAAACCAGCCAGAAATTTGTCTGTCGTCGTCGTCGTCGTCGTCGTCGTCGTTGTCGTCGTCGTCGCCTGCCTTAATACATTATATGTCACAATGTCAGGACATTGATCCATCTGTAAGTATCCAAATACCCAAACCCAAATCAAACCGAACGAAAACAAAACATTCGAACGAGAAAAACACAAGATTTATCTTCTGACGTAACCACGTGTCACCATCCAATACCATATTTGTATTATCTTCCACCCACCGCCACCACCACCATCTCCACTATCTTCCACTTTTTTCCTAGTACTTCCCTTGTCCCGCCAATCTTCTTAGTAAAAAGAAATTCTTTATCGATCGATATAAAAATTTCATTAACTCGGTTCAATTCGAATGATAATCTCATTGAGGTTATCTCGACCGCCCAAGACGGGATGCTATTTAAAAGGCAATCACCTTACTTCTACTTCCTTAGTCGTCGTTAGTATTATCCTTGTTGATCTATTCAAGAGATTGCTCGGATAGATCGAAAGAAATATGCTATTCTCGATCACATACGATGATAAGCGAACATAAGAGAGTTCTAATATATGATAGAATTTTCATATGGCGATATATCGTTCACGTATCTTATTCAACATTAATGATATAATATAACCGAAAAGTACTTTGTTCGATTATATACATAATCATATACATACTCTCGCACACATGCACGCACGGACGTTGCGTATACGTTATTTATTAGCATTAAAGAAAGTAATGTTATACAATCATTGTTATAATACTCACGCTCATATCCTCCATGCTGCGTTTTATTATTGACGTTTGAAATAATTTCCCACGTAGGTCGTGTTAAATAACGTAATATATGTATATATATATATGTATATATATATATATATATATATATATATATATATATATAATCGTATACACAAACGGACGTTAGAAGAGATTCGTCCTTCCACCTTCGGTTATGTTCTTTATCACGTGAACGTTAACACTCACATAACTGAACGAACGATCTTAGATAATGGACACGTGAATGTATTCATTAAGAGTAAGAGAAACAATATGAGGAGAAAGGAAGAAAAAGAAATGTAAATAAATAAACGTATATACTAAAATATTAATCCGATTCAATATGAGGTCAAGATCGTTCGTAGATAACGATGATCACTACATGTCAACATGTAAATACGTAAGAAAAAATGAGGAAACAAATTAACCAAAAACCAAGAAATATAATAAGTAAAACCAAAATGATTATCCAAATATTTTCTTCCACGATGATGAAGTATATTATTTTTCTTGTATCCAATGTTATCGATGATTGATAGATACGTCCTAAATGTATTCCCCTTCCTTCTTACTTCCCATTCGCACATCAGGCTTTCGATCTCGCGTCGAGATCGTGGCGCTGAATGTTGTCAGCTCGACGTGCTCGAGAAACATCGACGGCCAGGATGTTCCATGCATCGCGACATTCTGCTACCGCTCATTGAAGTCTCCGAGTTAATGCTTTATAACGTATCCCACGTATATTTTCTCCTTCTTTAATCACTGAATCCAATGATGAATGTTCGTCGTTAATATCTGGTTATATAAGAATTTCCGACATCGAAACCAATGAACTTCATATATTTCGTCTTGGTAAAGTTTTATATCGTTTGGAAGTAAACAAATTAAAAAAAAAAAAAAAAAAAAAGGAAGTAATAATAATCAAACGAAAGAAAAGAAAACGAAATAATAATAATAATAATAATAATAATAATAATAATAATAATAATAATAAATGTATACACAATTCAGTTAGAAATAATTTGATCACACGCGGACTCGCATACGTTTTTCTTCAGGCGTGCGATTTCGAATAAACGAAAGGATAATAAATGGGAAAAGAAGAAAAGTGAATGGAGGAAGTAAAGGATGAAAAAAAGGAAGAAGAAAGATATGAGGAAGAGGAAGAAGGTATTAAGGGTGGATAAGAAGATGGTGGAGGAGAAGGAAGACGAGGAAAAAAAGAAGAAGAAGAAGAAGAAGAAGAAGAGATAAAGGAAGAAGAAAAAGAAGATATAAGGAATAACAAAAGGAAGAATATGACGAGTATTGCGATTATGACGATTAGAATAATTAGAATGATGACGACGATGACGACGTAAATGAGGAGGTAGTAATACGAACAAAGAGAAATCATCGAAGGAGCCAAACGCTCGCCGGCTCGAGCTGAAACTCACTGAATCGGTTCTTCTGCTGCTCGGCAGGTCTGCCTTGCGCGCTGCCTTGTGGTGAGGGAGAGTTAGACCGAAGGGAGGGGGAGAGAAACAGGCAGCGCGACGTGTGTATGCCTGCGTGAGCGAGTAATAGTGTGACAGAGAGAGAGAGAGAGAGAGAGAGAGAGAGAGAGAGAGAGAGAGAGAGAGAGTCGGTGAGTGAGTGAAAGAAAGACAGACAGAGAGAGAAAGAAAAAGAGAGAGAGAGAGAGAGAGAGAGAAAGGGCTAGAAAGAAAAAAAAAAGGGAGAAGGTAAGCGAAGCTCTTCTTCCATCCAGCCCACCACCGGCTGCCTAGGGGCTTCGACCATTATCTTTCGTCGTAGGTTTCGCTTGGTTCGCGTACGAGAGCTTACGGGAGGTGAAACGAGAGGAGGAGTACTCCGTTGGAGGTGGGTAGGACCAGGGTAGGGTACACCGTCGAGGGCTTTATTATATTTACGCGAGGCGTTATCGAAGCAATCCAACAATATTGATTCCCTCCTCATCAGAGAGAGATAGAGATAGAGAGAGAGAGAGAGAGAGAGGGAGGGAGAGAGAGAGAGAAAGAGAGAAAGATTATCGAACTTGAAGAACGCCCAATCAGTGAAAACCACCCTCTGTTACATTTCGTTACACCCACGCTTATACATTCTACACACACATACACATATATATATATATATATATATATATATATATCGTTGTAATAATCATCATATTATTATTATTATTATTATTATTATTATTATTATTATTATTATTATTATTAATAATGGCGCTTTACTTTGTAATATTTATCATAATCGTCAATATCGCATTATTATTGATATTATTACACGATTGGATTGATGCGTATATACAATATTTTATAATAAGAATGTTTGATATTAATATTTTATTAACAATGAAATCGATTTAAATTAATAATAAAACCAATATAAACATCATTATCATATTATTGTTATTATTATTATTGATTGAATTGATCGATATATTGTATATTTTATGATTGAAATTTTGGATTTTAATATTTGTCGTAATCGTTAATATTTTGTAGTATTATTATTATTATACCATTGGATTGATATACGACATTTTATAATAAGAATTTTTCATTTTTTATTAACGATAAATTCGACATTTATTTATGAATTAACTCAATATGTTGTTATATATATATATATGTATTACTTTTATAATAATAATAATAATAATAATAATAATAATTACTATTATTATTATTATCGACATTATCATCATCATCATTATTATTGTTAAATAAATTATTACCCTAAATATTTTCTTTACTTTTATTTTATTCCCTGTCACTATATCGTTTTATATCTAATCAAACAATATCAATATTTAGTATTATTTATATTAAACATACTGATATTATTTATTGTCCAATTCAATAATATACTGTCCTTGTTATATTATTATTGTTCATTTAGATTTATTAAGATTTATTGTTCCTTTATTTAGATATAAATATATTAACGTTATTGTCCAACTCAATGCAAACAAATTAATCCATAGAATAAGGACAAATTACGAATTAATTAATTGTAGAAAATAAAATGAATTATACAAAAACAATTACCAAGAAGATCTATCACTTTCAGGAACAGTGCCACTATCGATTGTCTCTTTCTATCTCTCTGACTAATACCAGTTTCTTTTCTTTCTCTATTTAAAAAAAAAAAAAAAAGAAAAAAAATTTACCATAAGCCTATTCAAAGCCCACAGACAAACCAACATCTTTTTCTTCTTCTTTCTTTTTTCTTCTTTCTACAAGTTTATATCGCTACTGAAAGGCTTCACTTTATTCTCTCTCTCTCTCTCTCTCTCTCTCTCTCTCTCTCTCTCTCCCTTTTTTCTTTTTTTTAATTTTCTTTTAATTTTTTTTTTTTTTTTATTATTTTTATCAGTTCCTTACGGCATATTTATTTTTGCACTTGTATTTCCCGTCTCGAAGGTGCGATCGAATGCACACGACTTATGCGGATAGGTTCGATCTCTTCCGAACATTATTTCAATGTCACTGGAAATGTTATCGTCGGTCAATGGACAGTTCGTAAATCCGAAGAATTGCGATCACGATTGGCGGCAATAGCTGAAAGAAGAGAATAGCTTATAGAAGATATGAGGGACGATTTAAGTATGCGGGTTATGTTCGAATATGTCTTTGATTCTTTTTATTCTCTTTCTAAAAGGGTTAGACCAGTTATTTTCTTTTTTTTTTTTTGTTGGTGAGAGTAAATTTGATAGGGGGGAGGGGTTTCGTTGTAAGGTTATTACGAGTTCATTTTTTACTTCTTCTTTTCTATTTTTTTTTTTTCCTTATTTTTTCTTTTTTTTTTTTATGTAGGATTTATCAGCTTCCTTTATGTAACCGTAACGCGATTATGCTGCCTTCGTAATTTCTTTCGAAGGATTTCTATTTGTATTTATTTTTTCAAGCGACTTTTGTTGAAATTTCTTTTTTATTTTATCAAAATTATTCTCCGACTTTTTGTTCGACGAAAGTATTTAAGGATTTATCAGTTCTACGTAATTGTAAATGTCAGTGAAGCGATTTGTCTAAATCCCTTTTAGAGTATTGTTATTTACGATATATTGAAGATTTTTATTTGATTTATATTAATCTTGTCTATTTTTTTTTTTTTTTTTTTCTTTTTTTTTTATGATGAGATCATTCAAGAATTTATCAGCATATTTAAGTGCCAATAACATGATTCTTATAGCCTTTTACGAGTGATTATAATTCGTATTTATTATTTAAATCGATTTAAAAAAAAATTATGCTTTTTTTTATTTTATCAACGTTATTCTCGATTTTGTTTCATGAAAGTATTTAAAGATTTTTTATTTTACTTAAATTCGGATTACGTCGTTTGTAGAGCCTCTTTCGTAGAATAATGATCCTTATTTATTTTCTAATCGTTTATTTAGGATATTTAATCTTATCAATGTTAATCCTAATCTCGTTCGGATGGAAGAAGCAGGAATTTGCTCTGAAAAAAAAAAAAAATAAATAAATAAATAAAAAATATTTGTCGAAGATACACAAAAAAAAAAAAGAAAAAGAAAAAAAAAAGAAAAAGTATGAACAGTACGAATAGAAAAAGTATTAACTGAGGGATTTTTTTTTTCTCATTAAGATGGACGATTATAAATTTAGCCGAGTTTAAGACTCTTCATTCATAATCATTCGATCGATGCATTAAATATTCATCGATATGTGAAATATTATTAAGAGAACGATAAAAAAAAAAGATTAACTTTTCTTTATACCATTTAATTGGCTTTATATAAGAGGAATAGGATAAAAAGAAAAATACGTTCCTAGTTTAGTATTTTATTGGAGAATTTTCATAAGGGGAAAAAGTATAGAGAGATATGATCACAAGCTTATTCATGTGAAATCCGGAATGGTCCCTTTTTCTTTTTTCTTTTTTTTTTTTTTTTATTTTTCTATCTTGGAAGGCTATAAAAGCTAACCGAAATGGTAATAAAATTTCTTATTAATTGCCCGATGAGCAGCAAAGATTAGAAAGATGTTTCTAATATATCTATATGAATTTAATATTTATCAATAGCTTATTCATTCGTCTATACGTATGTAAGATAATTATAAGTCTTTTTGAATTTCCATTGTTATCAAACATATTAGATTTTTTATTCTATTAATTCGTAATGATTATGGTCATGTTTGATTTGAATTATGAATAAAAGTGCAGTTTAGATGTAATTTTAAATGAAAATTGAATTATTATGTGACACATTTAGAAGATAGAAAGTCTTACTAGTACATTTGGTTTAAAATTGATTTTATAATTAAATATAATTGTTAGAAACAAAGTGTAAATGTATTTTTAATCTACAGTAAATGGTATTATATTTTTGGTAAAATAAGCAATATGATATTTTAATCATTCTCCTTTATATACAGCAACAAATGTAGAGATAGTGCAGTGTCCGAATATTAATGTGAGTAACTGTGTGTGTGTGTTCTACGTGAGCATGCGCGCGCATATTATATATATATATATATATATATATATATATATATATATAAAATATACCATAGTAAGTAAGTAAATACGAATATATCGACTTGTGTAAAATCGATTCATCATTAAACACTCTACTAATTAATTTATAGTTCTTAAAAAATAATCATATAGAATGAAAAAAAAAAAAAAACATGAAAAATTTTAACTACGCATTATTTGTATCAATATAATAGCTCTACGTTAATATAAGGGAACATAACTTGTACTTAAAAAAAAAAAAAAAAAAAAACAAAAAAAGAAAAAAGTATGAAAAATTTTCAACATCTAGTGACAATTACGTTCGTTTCGATAAAATGAAATACGAAACGTCTGAGACATTTAAAATCAATAAACGATATACGGAAAGTTAAATAAATAGAAATTCATTATTATATACTTATTCATTCATGATTGTTTCGTAATGATATCATTTCAAATGTATACATTGGTACGTCAGAAAGGACAGTGTGACAGGACAATGTCGGATGTCAAACAATCGTCGCGAAAAGAATTCACTTTTGTTATCTCTTTCTCTCTCACTCTCTCTCTCTCCCTTTCTCTCTCTCTCTCTCTCTCTCTCACTCTCTCTCTCCCTTTCTCTCTCTCTCTCTCTCTCTCACTCTCTCTTTCTTTCTCTCTCTCTCTCTTTCTCTCTCTCACTCTCTCTTTCTTTCTCTCTTTATTTTGCATGCTCGGTAAACTGAGGTCGTATCGCGGTGGAAGCCAAATCCTGGTGTGCGTCGAAAGCGAGTGTGTGGGTGGGCCGGATAACAGCTGATCGTCTGAGTTGATCGGAACGCGAGCGAGGGGCGAAGCAGGAAGCCGCGAATGTCTCGACAGTGGCGTCCATTTGTACCACGAATGGTGCCTCGGAATTTCATTTGTATTAGATTTAAATGGAATGATAACG